ATCTCATGCTTCTCACTTCTCAAGCTGACCATCTTATGTTCACATTCTTGCTTGGTGAATAGACATGTCTTGCAATCCTCATGCTGAATTTCTTTTGCTAGGACTGGTCTCTTGACTCATTTTGCTGTCGTCTTTTCTTTTCCTTCTTCAGTCACCATCGAATACATTTTTGCGCGAAGACCCACAAACTCCAACACAGGCTCCCCAGCGTTCTCATCTTTAAACTTTCCAATCTTTTTCTTGTTGGCTTCACTGAAAAGAAAATGCTCTGGAGGGTATTCAGAGGTGTCGAAGAGATCTTGGTCCTCTTGCATGTCTTTATAAACATCCGTCTGCATTTGGTACATTAGGCTGTCAGTATCTGTGAACAGTAACTTAACCTTCTCTGCTCCGTACTTGCGAAGCATGTGATTCTAGTGAAAGTTGTACATCCAGAATTTAGAGAGGTCTAACACACTAAACCCTGTGTAAATAGGCTTCTCAAGGATTATAGTGGGACGCTTCATGTCCATCCCCACGAAGTAGTCTTTCTTCTCCTCATCAGATACGAACACCACACTCCTCTTGTAGATTACTTTAGCTACATTGTTCTTGAACACGGATGGTTCAGATACAAGTTTAAAGTTGACCCTCTTCCTCACATCTTCCATTGTTTTTCCGAGGACGGAGTTATTCAGCAATTTAAAAAAATCCTTCTCAAACTTAGTAATCGCTTGAGCCCTCAGTCAGGTGTTCAATTCTAAATAGGGCTTTAGCCAGGCCTGCTGTTTGAACATGAGGATACGATGAATCTTTGTAAGTTTCATCCCTAAGGAAAGATATAATTCCAGATTTCTGTAATACAAAATGTATCCTCCCTTAGGCCACAGATTAGGGACTAACTTGTCCACTTTGCTGGGTTTGTACTCAAAATCCGTGGTTAACTGCTGGCAGTAAGGAGATAACATCTCTGGAGTGATTTCTATCTTCTCTGGGGCAACGGGGTAATTGTTATGAAGGTCATGGAGCTCTTCTGGGTATTTCAGGTCAACCTCTAGAATGTAGCCAATCTCTGCATCGTCAGCAATCTCATTTATGTCAAAGCCTTCAAACTCTGTTTTCCACTCAAAATCTCCGATAGGGAGCGGTTGTGACATAGCCCATCCATACAAGTTGTTTGCATCATAGTAGATATTGAAGATGCTAGGCTGTTCAGGATCGTAGTCCTTCAGGTACTTGTTGTTAGCTCTGGCGTAGCGGTGAGTAATCGTAGAAATACCACCTCGCGTTCCCCGCTCAAGGAACATATGCATCTCCTTGTCTCTTAGAGTGCGCAATTTCACACCGGTAATCTTAAGAGAAGCATCCCATGCCAATCCTGGTACTGTGTGGTAGTGAGCGGGATCTAAATCATAGTTTTTCAGGCAAACTTGACGGAACTGCTCAAAGATATCAGCTAGCAGGAAAATGTCTTAGTACAGGTTGTAAGATCCAAGTGTAACATTTTTTGCGTAATTTGTTTTTCCTTTGCGTACGCAAATTAGTTTATACTTCTTTTCGTCCTTTTGTTTAGTCTTTTTTTTGCGTCAATTTAGGTGTTTATTCCTTTCTATTAGTTTTCGCGCCCTCGTTAGCGTTTCTTTGCTGTTTCATCTTCATTAGCGCCTTTCTAAGTTTCTATAGTTTTATTTTCCGCATGTTCTAGCCTATTTTTCATATCGTAATTTTGCAGTACAGTTTGTGCAGTTCATTTTGGTCCGCGCTTAGCGCAGTTCTGTTTAGTTTCTTGCAAGTCCCTAGCTTCGCGTTATTCGCAGTCCGCTTCAGCAGTTTTCTCTGGCCGAAACAATGTAAGTGTACTTCACAGTCCTCGTTTTGCAGTTTTGTTATTTCTTTACTCTAATTTACCTTAGTCGCAACTTGTAACTTTTTTACTCTTTTACCGTTTTAGTTTCAACCCACGCCGTTTGTATGCGCACTCAATAAATCTTCATTCGAATTTGGTTTGTGGCGTTGTCATTAAAGGCCAAGAGACTTTACGCTTATTGCAGTTTTACAGGTAAAGGTCATGGTAATCCCCCATCGATTGACACCCAGTCGTGTTCCAAACTGTCTGAGAAAACTCGTACTTTTCTTGGGAAATGTCTTCATTAGTGAGATCACTACGAAAGGCATCTTTGGACGGAAGACTTGTTTCTTCAAATTTACTGAAACTGTTCATGTAGGAGTAAGGATACACACCTTTTTGGCAGAGTAAATCCATGTCTTCAGGGTTGTTAAAGGTCCAGACTTGAGGTAAATGCTGCTGGAGGTGAGGGAATTCTGTCAAGTTACTGGCTAAGTTATCTAGACTTGAACCTGGGCCAAAGAATTGGATCGAATCCAGGAACCTCAGGTTCCCCAGTTGAAAGGATACATACCACTCCATGTCGTTCGGTAGGACCCGAATGTTCTTACATCGGTTCTCTGCCTTGTTCTTCTTGTTGAGTTTCTTCCCGGAGTGGCGATGTATCCCACGCATGATGAGATGTCCATCATAACGACGTAGATTATGAAAAAAAAAAGACTGGTATATGTTTGAGTTGTTTCTTGTTTATGTTACAACTAGCGTGGGCAGCCCCCCTGTACTCTCCAGTGGCGTGATTATGATCGCGTACTTTACGAACCCTTAATTTCTTTTCTGCCTCTTCTGGAATACCATCAGCTGGTGCCATTTCATAGGATGCGGCTGTGAAGGGTTGCTCACACATATAGCAATGTGTAGCTGCTTGAAACTCTGCTTCCTGTTCTTCGGTCAAGTCCACTGGTTTAATTTCAGCTAGGAATGGTTTCAGTTCCTCTTCTAACGCTTCAATGCTTGTAATTAGCTCATCCACCACTCGTTCGCCAACTTCTTCTAAAGACATGCCTGGGGTTGGTGTGGGGCGGTACAGCTTTGTGCGTGACTCGACATCTGGATGATCAGATAACAGAACCCAAGCAAAACTGCCGGCAGGAGGTGTGCTTTTGTACTTTCTTAGTTTTGCCGTCTTCTTCAGTGCCTTCTTCTTCTTTGAGTATACACTCAAAATCTCCATAGAGACGGAATAAGGTTGGTTCAGTTTTAGCCCAACTGGTGAACTTGATTTCTTGGTCCACTGTTTTAGTCACTTGTGCAGGGAAATGACGGCACATTTCTTGGTGTTTCGCCAGTAAATCTGGGCGGGTGAATCCATGGAAACATCTTTCACAAAAATACGTCTGCCCATTATGTTTGTTTACTCTTGAAAGAAGACGGTTAAAGTGCTTAACCCAGGCATAATGTTCTCTGTCTCCTTTCTTCCAGTGCAGCAAAGTAACATGATTTTGCAGTTTCTTATCAGGAACTCTCATACTCATCAGAAAGGACTCTTGGACGGTATTTTTCTTTCCCTTCATGCCCTGTTTTTTTTTTACTTCTTATCATTCGTGATACCAATGACAATGATACTAATGCCAGGATTCTGTTTCTCAAACTTAGACATCTGATGAATTGGGACAGCAAAATTCAATTCCGTCAAAGTTTAAGTCCTCCTTGTAGTCTTGATAGTTGGTAGGACGTTCGGGATGGTTTGAAGCGGGATGTAAGGCAGCTAAAATGCACCACTTGAAACACTCCAAATCTTCATTCTTGATGTTTACCACTGCTTTAGTATCAAGAATGTCTTTGGGTTGTTTAATGTAGGAGCTTCCCTGTAATGGCTCATAGGTATCCATTTCCAGAATGAGAGCGTGGTTCTGATGGAGAGTCCAACAGGATCCGGCCTGCACAAAAATAGACATTCGCTCTTGAAATACTTCCAAAGATGCATCAATTTGTTCTTCAAGCTGTTCTGGATACGTACTGGTGATGGGGTGTTCCAATCGGAAATGGGGTGAATACAGCATTGGTTTGCTTCGGTATTTATCTGGCATAGACATCTCACAATGATAGACAAGGCTCCACTTGATGGCTTTCCTTTCTTTTAGGGCGTCCTTCAAACGTGCTTCTCTTCTAATCTTGGCATACTTTCTTTAAAAAAGACTTTTTGGTCTACTTTCTGGGCTTTTGTTTTCGAGTAGAAGTAAGCATTCACTCTGTTCCCCTCCAACATAGAATCTTCCCTGTCCGGCTCACGGATGCCTTTTTCGTCTATTTTCTTAGGAAAATCTTGTCTGGCTCGTTTGACCTCTCTTGTTTCTTGATCTAAAGTTCTTTTTACACCACTCCCCAGCTGAGATAGGTGGAAATGCTGCTGGTGATGTTCCAAGGTAGATTTACGGTGAAAACTTTTCCCGCAACCAGCGAAGGTACACTTGAATGGTTTAGCCTTCTCTTTTCCACAGCGCTCTTCATGAAGGTGAAGAGCTAACTCATACTGGAATGATTTTTTACATTCTTGACAGCAAAGACCGTTGGTTACCACTGGCTTGGGGTGAGCTTTCTTAAGGTGCCTCTTTAGCGCGTCACTCCTTGTAAATGTCATCTCGCAGTGAAGGCATTTCACACAATGCTGTTCTACCCCGCAACATGACGATGGAAATGGGTTGAATGCTTGATAGGCACCCCACACTTAGGACATTGCTTTCGATCTTTAGCCATGACTCTATTAGGACCTCAGAGATGTTAACTGTTCAACACTCTGAAATGAAATGAATTCTGTATTAGGACCCACCAATTTATTTATACTTTTATTTTATAACTGGTTTATAACCGGTTACCTAAAAAGAATTAACCTTTAGAATTAATCTTTAGAGCTCTTTGAAACCCTGGTAGTAAAGTCACGTACAAGAACTTGTAACGTGCGCGACTATTGTTCAGTTTTACACTGAATTTGCATTTATGAGGAACAGTGAACTCCGACAGAAGCTGGTTTACCATTCAAGATGTGAATTATTCCACAAACTTATGTTCACGACTATTGCGTCTACTGCTGTCATTGCCAGCAATCACCCTGTTCGTTGGTTATGTATGCAGAAATGGCTACAAAAGTTATAACTAACTCTCCCATCTAATACAAACGGTTCTTTTAGGAGTCACCAACTTAAATTAAAGTCTATAAGCATGAACACTTTCTGTAAAATTGACCGTGGTCAACCTCAAAGGTATTAGGAAAGATCGTTAAGATTTGAATTCTCTATTATGTTGTAGTGATCCGCACATAAGGAATAAATTCAAATTTAGGGACCATTCATTTGTTACAACAGAAAGCGCATAACGCTGATCTCAATCGAGGGATAGTCACCCGTCCTTATTTCCCTCCATGGTATCCAGTGCGTTATACTTCAAGAATAATAAGAGTGATACTTTCATTGCTAACTTAAAACGCTAGGTTAAGATCGTGAACGGCTAGCATAGTGGTATGCTAAATTCATTCCTATCGTAAGTTTACTATTAAAACCGACGGCTCTTTTAGGAGCTACAAACTTGAACAGAAGTCTCGCCAGTTTAGATATGTAACTTTCACCAATACGTAAATATCATTACTTAGACTTTACCGTATAACCATCCATCACAGAATTATTACTCACTTTAGGGTAACAAAATACACTTACCTCCAATCTCCTATGTTGAAACCTCATCCAAGACCATCTGGTTACGAGACACAAGTTATGTAGTTGTCGAAAAAATCAAGGTCCAATTTCAACAATTAGCAACGCGATTGAGAAAAGAGTATTCAAGGTCACTGTCTTTTGTTACGCTAACCAACTTAATTAAACACTTGTCTAAGGTTGCCCAATTTTGCTTTGCTGACTCAGCTTTGATGAACGTCCCCTTGCCTGATCATGTCTAACTCTTCAAGGATATACGTTAAATGTTGAAAAAGTCTGCATTTAAGAAATTTTCATTGCAGTAAAAGTCTGCAATTAAGTTGGTTTGAACTTTCTATTTATATGTAGGGACTGTGTAGGGGCTTAAAAAGAGTTCGAAAATTATGTAGGGACTGTGTTGGGACTTAAAAGAGTTTCAGCGTGAAACTTAGAATAAATATCACGCACTATGAACACGTTCACGAAGGCGTTCACTTTATTAAAATTACAAGTGAGTGAGTGAGTTCTGTGAGTCATTCATAATAAACACGAGTGAGTCCCGTGAGTTATTAAAAAATAATCACCAGTGAACATAGTTTATACGTGTGAACAATTTTCGATGTGCTCTCGAAGTGGACTTTCCAAAGTAATGACCCACTAAAATGTACTTGACTTTCAAAGAAGAAATATATGAGCGGGTCTGTCTATATCTACTGCAAAAATTTAGTATCTCGCTAATAAATCATGTTTGGGAATTGGGAGCCCTAAAGCAAACAACACAGAGACTTAAAGGGTGTTTACATAAAAAAACTCGCACTGGCGCGAGTTTCGAACCAGGATGACTTTTTGATCTCGCTTCACGTTTACATGATGACTGGGTCATTTCATATGTCGTTATGTGAAGGTACACTTCATGTTAATAAAATACATCTGTGATTCAAAATCGCAAACATTACTCATGCGCTACCCATTCCGGTCTACCGGCAGATGTGTGGTCGTTTTGCATTTACATGATATCTTTGCGAGATTTCGTACCGGAGTGACATTCTCGCCCCGGTACAACAACTGAAGTGAACTCACCCCAGGGGGAGCCAGAGTGGCGACGGCATGGCATTTGGTGGTGGTATCAGGTAAACAAATGTAGACCCAGGAGAGGGAACAGAAGTGAACTCGCTCCAGTGCGAAAGTCACCCCGGTGTCATGTGAACACCCCCTTACGTTGGGGAGAAACTAGAGCAACGCCCGATTGAAAGGAGTGTTTAAAATACTTGGTTCAATGCAAAACTACACTAGAACTGGCTCTAACCCTAAAGATACGCAAAAGATTAACCATAAAGTGTATGCAACTCCAGATCTACTACTGCGCTCACTCGTGAAATATTTTCAACACTTGAAAAGAAATTTCGCACCTCCGTTAGGCCATGTAATATCCTCTATGTAATTAAATCGCTTATTAGCATTAATGTCAGCACATATGAAGTTTGACATTTGACCTGAGCTTTTCCTTGTTAACTACAATTTTTTTAACTAAAAAAATTTAACCGTTAAAGGAATAACCAAGAGAATGAGTTATGGCACCCAGAATGATTGAAAAATAAATTTGAAGACTTAGGTACCTGTCAACAATAGGAGGATAATTGAGTTGCAACCTGTGTATACAGGTGATGAACTTGCCAGCCTCTGGGTTTGATGTGTTTATTAAAGACAAAAGCTTCTCACTGACCATATCATGTAAGGCACCATTAAATACCTACGGAAAAGGTGTACAATATGAAAAATTAATAATAATATGATAAGCCTTTTTTCACTTTAAAGCCTACAGATGTAAGTCTAAAGATGACACATATCTAGCGTTATCCTTACGTTCTTACCATTACCTTCAGCAAATTGCAACTTCTCCATTCTAAGATATCACGTTAAACCACGCCTTTAGTGAAACATAAAGTTTGAAAGCTGCCTTAGCACATGAATGCTGTGGTTCATTTTCAGTTA